CAAAAAAATGCAACAGGTAAAGCTGAAGCGCCAGAGAATATTGTTTAAGTCAGAAGCAAGCACAAGGTTTATTATATGTCAAAACTATTGGACAAATTTTGATTAACCGAAAAAACCAAACTCTTATGTAATGATTTTAAAATACAAGATTAATTTGGAATTTTCGTAGAGTTAGATAAAGCATGGTCAGTTTTGTACGTATATGCAAAAATTTAAAATATTTTAGACAGATTTAAAAACTAACTGGATGGTTATTTTGTGACTCGTTTTTCATCCTGATGTTTGGTTCAGAGAAATTTGAGAAAAGTCACGCAAAAGTCATAAAAAAGTAGTAGTTTAGCCGATGTAAATCAGTTTATAAACCGTAGATGTACTGATCTAAAACCAGGATAAATCCCAGGAGCCGATCTTTACCTTAATCAGTAGCTTCTAATGGTAGTGCTGTACATTTTTTGTTTTTTATTTAATTCTCTTTATCTATAGTTTTTAGAACCTTTATCTGAGAAGGAATGAAACAAATATTGATCCAGTTGGGTTTCTGGTTCCCATTTTCTTTCTACCCAGGGTTCATAAACGACTAAATACACTAATGTGACCAACCAAAGTATTGGTCGAAAATAACTGGAACAAAATTAGCCGTAATGATATATACATAACAGATATGCATTTCAAACTGGAATTTAGTAAGCGAACAAGATTTCTTCATCAGATAACATTTACGTCAGTTCGCGTGCATTTATTTTGTCAGCAAATATTAAAACGCTAGTTAATATAGTATCGGGTGATATGAGGCTTTTATTACGAACAAGTAGGCCCACATGTGTAATTACCTTCATTTTAACAACGGGAACTAAGCCTGCTTACCACGTTATTAAAAGCAACGAGCCAATGATTTGTCTATTAATGTTCATCAAAAAGTCGCTATGGAAACAGTATTTATGATAATTTTCCATAACAATAGATGATGAACAAGATAATTTTCTTCCTGTCCATTCTCTTCTCCCTACTTTCTCGGTTCGAGTCAATATTGTACAAGCTCCACGTGCTGGTAGCAACAACATGCCTTCTGATATATGACACCCCTTTTTAATGAAGTAAAATATACCCATTAAATAGAGTTATCTCTTTACGACAGGTTCGTCATATTAGCGAGTTTGGAATGAGTGATTAAAGTGTGTGTGTGTGTTTGTGCATTAAAAGTTTATGTACTGTGTGGTTTTAATCATACTATTTTCAACAAAATCGTACGTTATTTAATATAAGACGCTAAACGCATCAATATCTCAACATCCTGAACATCTTTCAAATATCACAAAATTTTTCGTATTTTCCGTGTATGTGTATTTGCTATGGCATAACACAAACACAAAACTAAACAATGAGGAATTAAAAAAAAACTTATAAAACACCTCAATCCTGTTGCCAAGAAAATCGAGAGTGGTACGAATGTTACACATACACGCACGCACAGCCTGATCCCTATTCATGCATTGTTGTAAAAAATCAATAATGTTTACTACAATTATATTATAAACGTACAGAAACAACAAAGCAGCTTCCTCAATATCATAACAATCAAAATCTTAGGTTATAGAACGGAGTTATGACGCTTACTACAAAGCATTTCAACCACACGTATATCTACCACCAAAGCTGAATATATGATCTTTATCAGTTTATATACAACCTCGCTGCATTCTTGTTTGACCTCGGGTCCAATTCTACACGTAACGAAGACTTACGCGCTGATAAGTAAGTATCATCAGCTTAAACACGATTTTATTTGATAAAGAAACTTCCTTTATTCCTACTTGACTTCACGTTCAATACCACTCTTACGAATCCACAAAAAATGTTTTTTGTTGTTGTTTTTTTTTTCTGGAGGGGTTTAAGGTAAACACAATAGAACTTGTTTGGATAAATAGTTCGGATATGCAAGACTAGTCATTTTATTCACACACACACAATTCGAAAATACACTATGCATTTGAATCTCGGTGACTATCTTGTACTTCGAGTATCAGAAACTAATAGCTATTAACCTTTAATGACGTTTTATGTGACATTAACACAGCCTCATTGTTCATGCAAGGCCACAGTTAACTTTACATGTATTGATCTATTACTTGCTGACGTGTTACTGGTGTCATAACACAAAATACTCCTGCACCATTCATGAAGCATGAGCAAATGACTTAAATCACCTATTATTCTCCTACTGAGTTATTGAAAAATATGGTCTATAAATGCAAGATATGATAAAGTAACATTTTTGTCAATAGCAAATTCTTAATAATGTGTTGTTTCTATTATTTAAACTATTATTCACTCACCGTTATAGATATTGCTGCTAACTGTCTATTGGACAGACACGCCAATAACAATAAGATAACCTACACAGATCTGTGTCGAACCAATGATGTTACAAAAGGCCAAGACATTGTTAGATCTCGATTTCTTAGCTCCTATAGAAAGTTTATCTAACAAAAGGAGTTACAGCTGTGGTGCAAGTGGCCGATGGTCAAGTTTCTATGGTCTTAGGTCTATTTTAATCAAAATAGACTTCTCGATCTTGGCAAATGGAATGGTTTTAATTCTCGTAATGGTTATTGAATTAAATTGAATCCTTTTGATAGATGTTTTGATGCATTTTTTATCGACTTTACTAATTGTACAACGTAGATATTTCGTCAATTCACAAGGTTGAACTTATGCCTTAAGAGACACGACTTCGTAATTTTGACTACTTTTATTTACGGTGTTGTTTCAATGTGAGGAGTGTCATTTAAAAGTTCTGATGTCAAACTACTCAAAATTGGCACGTCCAACAAAAAGGGCACTAACAGACTCTTAAATTTACAAGCCGATTACTATAGCTCAAGAATCCTGCCAAATTTTGTTCTAAATGACCAGCGAATTTACACTGAATCTTGTAGATTAGTAACCTTAGTTAGTTAAAGCAGTTGTCTTTAAGCAGAGCCATTGTTTCTTCAAAGTAGTTTCACGTAAATTAGTTTTGACAAACGTTGGAAACTCTTGAAGGTTACAAAGCTCTGGGTTATGTATACCCAATTTAATAAACTTGTACATTAGTAGAAACCGTGAGAACCTACTTTAAAACCTAACTAGTGAGAATCTACTTAAAAAACAACAACACAAAAAAACGAATATTTGAGAACCTGCTTTAAAAAATCTAACTCGTGAGAACCTACTTCAAAAAACCCAACATTTCAAAACATGTTTTAAAAAGATCTAACTCATCTGAAGATGCTATAAAATTCTAACTCGTGAGAAACTGCTTTAAAACAATCTAACTTTAAAAACCTGCTACAGAAAACTAACTCACAAGAAACTGATATAAAAACATAACTCGCTAGAAACTGCTATGTAAAACCTAACTCACGAGAACCTTCTTTTAAAATCTAATTCTTGATAACCTGCTGTAAAAATCTAATCCATGAGAAACTTCTATAAATACCTAACTCGTGAGAACCGGTTTTAAAAATCAAACTCTTGAAATCCTATAAAAACTAACTCGAGAAAAGCTGCTATAAAAAATCTAATTCATGAGAACCTTCTATAAAGACCTAGCTCATGAAAGACTACTATAAAAAATTAACTCGACAATAGCTGCTATAAAAAACTAACTCGAGAAAAGCTGCTGTAAAAAATAGAATTCGTAAGTAGCTTCTATAAAAACATAGCTTATGAGAGGCTGCTATACAAAACGTAATCTGCGAGAAATCGCTATGAAAAACGTAACTCGTAAGAAGCTCCATTAAGAACCTGACCTAAGCAAGTAAGAACTTCTACAGATCAAAAAATTGTACTAGATAAGCTTGTATAATAAAAGTTAGCAAACATGTTTAACGTTATTAACTTGAATGTTTTATTTTGGTAACGCGGCGAAGCTGTTGATCGAAGAGGCTTAAAAGCTCTAAATTAAGATTCCTTTGGTCTATACTTGCAACATTGAATGCACATGTACGACGTATGGTTATATTTAAATACGTAACAACTGCTACAGAAAAAATGGTATCGCAGACTGAATAGCTTCTAAGTTACCTAGATTAGAGTTGTTAAACATAGCTTGATTGGGTGTACAAATGATCACAGTTAGACAAACATCTGAGTCTTTTGGAAACCGAAAACAGAACCTCTGATCTTGAATGCTAAAACTTGGGGCACGACAGATAAAAAAATCTGTGTATTTCAATTTTACACTCTTTTCGGTATTTTTAATTTAGATAAAGTACGGTTATAATTACCTGCAACAAATATATTGCATGATGGCAGTTCAGGTAATTATACTTCATTTTCTTCAGTTTTGTTGCATGTTAAACAAATTACCAGTATATTCTGAGGTTATCACTTCAACAGCATTGTTTTCTGTGGCAAAAGCCATTGGATTCACGTAGACGTCATCCTTAAGTTCCGCCTTCTAAAATGTGACTGGCTAACAAAGATTGAGAAGGCGTGGCTTTTAAGGCCAACGAAATACGACGGAACCGAAAGATGCTCGTATAAAAATATCATTGAAATGGTTTTATGAGACCCAATTATCCGTACGAATAAAGCAAATGAACTGCTTACCTTTAGACACAGAGGTTTCCTTTTGAGCGAATATTTAACTATAAAAAGTCAGAAGAAACCATATTTTTCAAACGATTGGTTTCGGTCGTTTTGTGCGATTGTTCAATCACTCGGCTGACTCCCACGTAGATTGTTGTTCTTCGTTAACTCCGCTTGATTAAGCGAATACATAAGATACGACGCATATAATAGTTTTCCAGCTGTAGCTACAACTAGGAAATAAGAAGACATTACTAATTCCACGAACTATAAACTGCACGCGTGGTCTTATTTATTTAGTTATTTTTTTTCTTCATTTTGCAAATATCCTTTGAAACCAGGTTTTGAAGCCACAGTCACTAGGTGGTTGAAAGCTTGAAGATAACAACCCTTGATAGTTTAACAGGCTCAAAACAATGAACACATTCATGGCCCACTCTCAACATCGGCGTCCATCCTTTCTCATCGATGACATCCTAACTCCGAAGCCGCACGTTCCCCATGCCTTTACGGGAAGTTCCCAAATTACTTCCATCCCTGCATCAGTTCCCACGTGTCCTTTGTACGCCGCGCCGTACTTCTCGCCAACAACTGCCGCAACCTGCCACTATCTCGGCAAGGCTCTAGAGCACAGTCCCTTGATTTTTTCCGCTGCAGGTAAGTTTAATTTAAGTTATAACTTGAGTTTCATACAATCACTTAGTAAACTGCATTAAATTAACACGCATAACTAGTACACGAATGACTGCAAAACTCGGTTTCAGTTGGGATTTTCTATGTTTAACCCGTTCAGTTCAGTTTAAGTTATCTTACAGCACTAACGCTTAATAATAAATAATATGTCTCATTAGCTATCATGTGATTAGCAAGATCAATGCGAGAAAATTGTGTCAAAAAACTTACCAGACTGGAAGATGGTAATAGAAATATGAAATATCGTCAAACTGTAAGCAAATCAGCTCTACACTCAGATGATAGTTTTGTTGGTCGTAAAACTTTGAGACAAGAATTTAAAATATAAAGACTTTGCTGCCGGTGCTCAAAGTATATAGAGTCTCCAACTAAATGTTGGAGACATATTTATAAGACTATAAGTATATAGAGTCTCCAAATAAATGTTGGAGACATATTTATAAGACTATAAGTATATAGAGTCTCCAACTAAATGTTGGAGACATATTTATAAGACTATAAGTATATAGAGTCTCCAAATAAATAGTTAGGTAGACTATATTTATAAGACTATAAGTATATAGAGTCTCCAAATAA